CCCCAAAACCCCAAAACCCCAAAACCCCAAAACCCCATGTTTAAAGTCAATAATTGTATAAATTCAAAACAATGGACGAACCATAAGTCTGGGCATGCCAAAATATTTACTTTTGGTTTGTCTCATCATTAATCTCAACAGGATTCAATCATTCAAAAGATTTAGACATCAATCTTATGGTTAAATAAGCTGCTAGCAAGCAAACATTTTCAAAAGTCCTGAGTTATCAATCTCGGATGCTTTAGTATTTTATTGCTTACAAATTTTGGCTAAATTTCAAATTTTCTCAGTGTCTTGACTAGATTGGGAATTCCGAAGAAGAGTAAGCTGGGTTTAAGGGATTTTAGGAAGGGTTGTTCGGGAAGTGGAGAGGTTTAGGGATGGAAGATCAGGTGTGGGTGGAAAGGAAAGAGGGTTTTAAGGGGAGTGGTTTGGGGGTGGGGAATGGAGGGGTTTTGGGTTTAGATGGACTTTTGTTGTATGGGGAGGTTGAATGCTTTGGAGGGGGTTAGGTGATTGGGGAGGAAGTACTTGTTGGATGGGCTGGATATTTTGTTGTCATGGAGAGAAGGGAGATAGTTCACTGAAATTGTTATTAGATTATTGCTATGTTTTAAGATTATAGATTCTTTTAATTTTGAAAGAAGTTTTGGTATGTTGACTCTCAAGATAGGGTTTTGGATAATGATTTTATAGTTTTTGTCTGCTCGAAATAAGAAGAAATCAATTACTTATTAAGCTTTTCACAGCTTCTTAATAATTTTAAAATACCAATAGTTCTTGTGCTTCTAAAATCAGACCATTAAAAGCATCTGCTATTATTAATCTCAGGTATGATATTCAGCTATATATATATTCTCAGCTCCTCATTACCCTTTATTCTTTACAAACTAAGCTTTATCCAAACTTCACAATTCATTAATCAAGAAAAATCTGAAGTAAGGTTATGAGAAAGTATAAATCTTTAAATTTCGGTTAAGAAGATCAAGTAATTCTCTTAACCCCAAAAATCTATATAAACTCAACACATTCTGATAAATCTCAAGCCCTTCGATCTCACCTAGCCCTCTCTTTTGCCAATTTCCAACTTCCCTTAGCATGGTTGCACTCTAAATCCCAGGTCAGCTCTTCAGGCCATAGCCATGCAGCCACTACCAAATAGCCCTTGGCGAAGTCTTAAAAGGATTCAGAACTCACTGATGCTTCTGTACTGCTGCAGGCTTGTTCCAGGCAAGTTAGGAGATATAGCTGACAGCGAAGTTGGATTTGGAGAATTTTTAGAGAGATTCATAAGACATCTTGATTTCAGCAGGGTGTGTTTAAAAGGGGTTTTGGGGTTTTGGGGTTTTGGGGTTTTGGGG